CAATATATAATATATATATATATATATATATATATATTATATATTGAATATATATTATAGAGAAGTTTTGTAACAAGTATTTCCATGGCAATATAGTTAATATACTTTTTAATATTAATACTTTCAATTTTTTTAAATAACCAATTTTTTCTGCCTGCGGCTGTAGCGCCAGGAAATCCCCTCATACAATATATTTTTTTCTTCTTCTTCTATTTTTTTTTTAAACCAAAAGTAGCTTCTTGTTAGCTAGGTAATAAATTGCTCAATTTCAACAAACTACAGCCTATTTCAAAGATTTTAAGAAGGCGTATTTGCAAATATTAATGACTCAATATTGAAACTATCCTTATTATGACTCATTTTGCCAGCCCGGGTCTCATATAGACGTATTAGTAAATTTTTCTGTATAATGCCAGCTGACACTAGAACAAATGTAAACACGTAAAGATTTATGACTGTACCTATGATTATCCAGTTATTTTCAGTGCGTGTTACAATAAAAGTGATGATTTCACAATCCAGCACATCAAACAGTAAACGTGAGCTCTTTTTCCTATTATTTTAGAGACTGATGCAACTGATTTTAAAATGAGGAACTTAAAAGAATAAATGTTTATTTGGTTATTAGGTGCACTTTAATTTTTTTGATAAATATATACCAAACTACTGTGAAGTTGTAATCTAGTTTATGAAAGTGGTATACAAAAAAAAGTGTTCATTAGTTGGATTGTAATTGTTTTTTACTATAAATAAGTTTTTAAAGAGCACAATGTTGTTTTATTTTATGTAAACCACAAATTATGTATTATTCTTTATAAGTTTATAAAAAAAAAAAATCATCATATAAATCAGGAATGTCAAACTTGGTTACAAAAAGGGATCAAAATTAAAAACTTGACCTAAGCCACAGGTCAATTTCAGTCAATTCTCGACATCTTTTCTTGGTTGCAGGTTCTTCATCAAGTTTAATCAGTCCCATTTGACGTTCTCTGTTGCTCTTTTTGCCAAAAATCAAAGATTACTGAAAAATCCAGCCTCTTTCTGGCTTCAAAGTCATGAGCAGTCTGCACTAAATTAAGTATTTTTGTATTTTTTTAAGCAATATTTTTAAAAAAAATTATGTTTTCCTTCTATCGGCTGCTCCCACTAAGTCGCACGTAGCAAAATGAGAAGTAATAAAAATATATTACATTTATAATAATATCTTGGGGGCCAGATAAGTTGATAACAAGTGCCAGATTTGCCTCGCAAGCCTCGAATTTGACTTGTTACGCTGACTTATAACAATTTTTTTAATCAAAATCAGACAAATTTTAAATTAGTGGGTCAAACCTTTGTAAAAACAAAAAGCTGGAATCGCCCTACGAATCTGCAATCTGTGCATCTTGACGGAAAACAAATTAATCTGTCAGTAATAAACTCATAAAACTTAAGTGCAATCACCAGAGTGAGGAAAGATAAACCCACACACACACACAAACACACACACACGGTTGTTCTGAGGTGGAGAAAACACTTTAAACCCATCGTCAGGTCAATTCTTAGGTCTATGATAAGAAAACACTTCAAAAGTCTGTTCACACACGCACACACGCAGATAAGTATTCATCATTTCCACATGTGTAGAAAGGTAACAGTGCATACCTACCTGTTACACAAAGACAAGCCTCAAAAAGAAAAGAATAAAACAGAAAAATGTTCAAATTAGCTGAAAATACTGTGTCAGTGTGGCAGCTACTAGATGGTAACAATGCTCCACACCTCCTGAGCTGTGAAAGAACAAGAACTTTGGGTCAAAAAGAAATCAAGTGAATGTAAATAAAATAGAAATGGTCACGTCTAGCCAAAGACGTTGAATGTGACACACACACACACACACACACACACACACACACACACACACACACAAAAGCTTCAGTAAGAGCAAGATGAGGAGCAGAAAGGAAGAAAGAGGAGGAGGGGTGGATGTGTTGCTTCTTGTCCAAGGCTCCAGCAAAAGCAGCTTGGATCCCGGCCCAGATTCCTTTCTGCCCTGACGGGAAAAACAGAGCACACCTGACACAAGCATGCACCACAAGGAGAAACCGTGTGTGTGATAAAGGTTGATTGAGCGGGGGAATAACTAAGCTGAGGCATCTTGACTGAGAGCTGTCGAGAATCTACACATCTGTATCGTTTGCTACAATTTCCACCACACTTGCTTCACACTCGCCTGTTGCAACAGCTTTTGGAACCAACGGCACATTTCCCTCCTGAATCCATCTGAGAGGCATTTGTCATTTGTCATCGTTTTCTTGCTGCACAACAAGCAAACGAGCAGAACTTGGTGAGTAAACCAGCTTGGCCTTTAGCCGTGTGACCCCAGAGGTCGCTTAACCCATGGATGATACCCATCCAGCTTTGGCTGAAGAGAAGTGGCATCACTAGTCAAAAGGAAAGTTGAGATCATTTAAAGTGCACAATACAGACATAGCTGCCCCCACCC